TAAAGTGTTCGAAATACCTCTACATAATTTATTATTATTACAAACTATTTTTCATAAATAATGTTCTAAGGAGCGGAAGTTTGAGTTTATTATAAGTAAAAATAAAATGATCAATATGATTGAATAAAAATAGTTATACGTAAAACTCAATTATTTTATGTAAAGGAATACCTGCGTTCAATTAAAAGTTCAAAGTACAAAGTTGATATTTTTAAACTAATATGTAAATAAAAGAAAAAAGAAATGAAAAGAAACAATCATATAAATTTAATGAGAACAATGGCCAATGACTATAACTTATTATCTATAATGCATCATCATTTATAATGACAGATGTATTCAATACGATTAGTAACTAAAATGTACATAAATATATATTATAATAGGTAGGTATAGTGTCAATAAATATTAATAATGTGTACCTATGTAGAACACCCTTTATACGGGTCTTAATGACATAATCTGCATAATCCTCATCTCTCTATAAATAGGTTTACTGTTTAGTATACTGTATATAATAATATATAACTGTAAATTGTGTGAAAACCGTAAACTTTCCCAAACAGATAAAATATACCGTCTGTAAATTGCATACAGACACATTTTTAAAAAGACATCCTAGGATAATGAGAATGGGTACAGCCACTGTTATAAATAATTTAATATACACCTGTAAGCAACAATAAACCATTGCTTACAAAAAAACAATTCTGAGCGGAGTTCAGTTGCTGATAATACTTTGTCATCAATATATATGTTATTTTATAGTGAAATAATTAAATAGGCTTTATATATTTTCTTCAATATTTGTTTAATTTTGTATCGAATTTCCCAATTTTCCCACGTTTTTCCTGGTTTTCCCATGTTTAATCCCAGTTTTTCACATTTGCACCTAAATTACTTATATTTTTCCGTTTTTTTCTTTCGGTGTTTCAAATTGAATGAAAAAACTCTGAGAAAATCGAAAAATAACCTCCTTAAAGTACCTCCTAAAACCGATTTCTTTTCAGAAAAGGTGCTACACTTAAAGATCTGGTAGAAAAATAAAAAGGTAGAAAAGTAGAAAAAATTATATAAAAATAGAAAATGTCTTCTGGTAGAAAAGTTGCACATAGATGAAAAAAAATAATTATCTTTAAAAAACTATAAGCTTCTTCGCTCCACTCAGAATCTTTTATCAAGTAACAAAGGTACGTAAACATCTGTAGAATATCACATAGCTCGTAACGGGAGTTATCCGTATCCGCCAAAATCGTACCTTTAACTTTTCCGCCAATTCGCTTTTCCACCTAATTAAAAAATGTCGACTAATATTCGAATACCAACGGACGATTGAATCATAAATTATTATTATTGTATTATAAAAAATATATTTTACTGTTGACAATGCGGTTCGTTTCAAAAGTATCGACTAGGCTGCATCGTAACAATTGGTTTGTACATATCGCATAATAACTGTATCAACTGATATAACAAGCAAGAACATGTAATCAATAGCGTTGGGAAAATACGATAATCAGCAATAAATTTATCATTGGGCGAAATTATGGTACGTTATAGATACCTTACGATGGAAAAATAATAATAAAAATGCCTTTGAACTTATACTATAATAAAAAAAAAGTATATTTTTGATATTTTTTGAGTAAAAAATTGTAGTAAGAACAATCGTTATGAGTATTAACAACTATTTTTACCTTATTATTCAATAAATAATGAGCAACATTTTCATCATAGGTACATAAATAGAAAAAACTTACTCATTTTAGATTCTGAGTGTAGCTAAGAATGGATTGGTTTTACTAAGATGTTTAATTTTTTATTTTTTTTTATCTTGTATACACAAATTTTACCAAAAATCTTACTCAAATATATACACGCGGCACAATTTCTGAAAGGGGATATTGTTCAAATGGTACTTTGAGAGGTTATTTTTTTGATTTTCCAGGCGGTTTTTAAAATATCTGGAAAAAACCAGAATAAAATGTAAAGAAAACAGAAAAATTACGAAAATAATGCTTTAATTATTTTTCAATTTTGTTATTCGTTGTTGTCCAGTTAAAAATATTCATAGACTTGAAATTTAGACAGAAAACTAATGATTGCTTTTTCTAGACGCGGTAAAATTTTCAAAAAATTTAAGCTATTTTTGAACTATTTATAGACATATAGACAATTTTGCGAGTTTCGTACGTAATTTTTATTCGGTAGATACTTTGTGGTAAAATGTTTAGACATGAACAAAAATGCTTGAAAATTTAACGGGAGGTTCATTAGGAGTCTAACTTTGTAGACATTAAAAACACATTGAGTTTAATGTAGTATCTTTTTTATAAAGGAATTTTAATATCAAATTTTGACAAAAATCGTCTAAGTAAAAAATCGTATGGAATAAATCTTATTTATCAATTTTTTTTTTTTTTTGAACATATGTATATTGCCGATTTAAAAGCGATGGAAAAGTCAGAATTAAGCGGACCGACTAAGCTTCGAAATTATAACTTTTTAAAGTTCTGATATTATGTGGATATTATATTTTATGTTAAATAACCCTATATTGCACCTATTCAAGCATATTTGTCGTGATCTAATGATTTTATATGTCTATTATTGTCCCAGCTTTCTAGTCTCAATCCAGTGTTTCGTAAAAAAATGTTTTGCATTTTTTTTCCTTTTATTACCTAAACAAGGAAAAAACAAATGCATTTTGAGTGTACTTAAAGATCCAAGCTATCCCTCGCTCGGACTATTTTAATTGCAAAAATACCCCTCGATTTGTTATGCAAACTTTTCTATCAGCAATTTTTTTTTGGTTTAAAATGATTACACTTTTTCTGTAAGAAAATCTGACTGGGAAGGTATTTTGGTGATGTTATTTTTCGGTTTTCCAAGAGTTTTCCAGCAAATGTGAAAAATCGGTAAAAAACACGGGAAAACTGGGAAAATCGGTAAAATATTAAACAAATATTATTAAAGAAAATATATAATGCCTATTTAATTATTATACTAAAATATAACATATATATTGTTAAAAAAGCATCACTATCAACTGAACTACGCTCAGAATCGTTTTTTCGTTAGAAATGGTTTATCGTTGCTTACAGATATACATAACATTACCTATAACAATAGCTGCACCTGTCTCCATTAACCTAGGACATCTTTTTAAGTTATTTATTTATATAATTAATATTTAATAATTTATGTAATTATTTAAATAATTGTCTATTAATATTCAAATATTAGACTAATTTTTTTCATTTGGTGAAAAAATGAATTAGTGAAAAGAGGAAAGGTACATTTTTGGCGGAAATCGATCATGCTTGAACGTAACCCACCAATTCAATACTATTATCTAAATTTGATTTGCTCTAGTAGGATGGGTTTAGTTGTTCAAAAATGATAATGACAAACATAGACGTTATATTGAGGCGTGCAAGGATTCCACTTACACCTTGAATGTTTGTGAGGGTGAAATACTATAATTTTGCACTCCCACTAATCGAAAATAAACCCTGATTTCTTATGAAAAACAGCAATACTACGTCGGTTAGTATTTTATTTTGTGTACAGATTGTTAATATGAGACCGGGTCAGGTTTTCTAAAACGTCCCTTATCATTTTCCGTACAAGTGATATTCACCGCTTATAAATGAAAATTGTGATACCACAAAATAGATTAATGGTGTATTACATGAATACGTGATCGCGGAAATTTTTGTTATGCTATCAATACTCATTAAAGGGGACGGATTTATATGGACCTAATAACTGCAAAAGAGCGCTTAAATCGTTAAAAAAAAGAACTTTAAAATATTTAAAAAAAGTAAAGTTTTAGAGCGGTTTTAGTCCCACATTTAATAGTTCTACTTTGGGGGATTTTTAAACCCCTTTATCTTTATTACCATTTGAAAAATTTTAAATGATTTTTTAGGCCTTTTTGACATTTTATGTGCTTTTCATGGTTTTTAAGTGCATATAAATTCCCTAATGACCATATATAGTCTTTGTGAGCCGTTTTACTTACGAGCATTTATATTTATACTTCAGGGGGGGGGTAAAACTGCACCCCCTGAAATTCAGCCAAATTACGCCTATGAGGACAAATAAAGATAAAGATAAATAATTTTGTTTTTGTAAACAAAATGTTTCTTATAAAAAATAATATAAAAATTAGAGTGCAATCATGCAGTTTATACCCTTCCCTACTCTTCCAATCAAAACATTAAACGGTTATGACTCATAAACGGTAAATCTAATATTAGTGTTATACATATCAACATTTCTAGAAAAATATTCTCTATTCAAATCTATGTTCAAAAAGGGGGGTTTCTATTTGAAAAAAAAATATATATTTATTTAAGGTATATGGAGTATAAACAAAAAATTAAAACATTTTTTAAAATAAAGTTAATCAAAACGACTACAAAAAACATAAATAAAATTCACTTAAAATCCTCCAAGAAATTTGCTGGTTCATGATAAAAAAAAACCACCCTTTATACAGAGGTTGCCAAAAGTCGCGCAACGCCTACCGTCTTGTATGGAACACGCGTTACGGCGCAGTTTCTCCCTCCACGTCGTTTCCGTTACGTCATATTACAACTTTTGTCTCGTTCTTCGTTCTTGTTTACGTACAACAACAGCAAGGTTTATAAAAAAAACACATATTTAACATAAAATACAACAGTTTTATAAAAACTGTGTTGCAAATTTGTTGCGCGACTTTTAGCTACCTCTGTATACCGTGTACATATATATATATATATATATATACTAGGCATAGTAGTAAACTCTATAAATTTCAGATGCGTATTAATTACAAAAAGAAAATAATATACATATTATTAGAAAGAGGCAGACAGGCACTCATTACTCATTAGAGATACGCATCAACCTGAACATTGGCCTATTACGAGAATAATTGGTGGTGCAAAGGGATATGGAAAAAAAATAAGGTGACTGCGAATGGAGCCTAGGTATCCTGAAATTGAATTTACTTAGTAGTTCAGGACACTAGAACCATCTATGAGCTTTCTTAGAATTAACTGGTTAGCAGAAACACGCCTATTGGCTAGTATTGATACCCCTAAAGCCTTAAGCACCGGTTCACAATCATGAGGTTCGTTGTCAATATGAAGCATCCAAACAGATGCTTCATATCGACTTAAAAAGACCAAAACTTAAAAATGTACGGTGTACCCTACTACTTGCTGTAGGAAGGTCCCATATAAAAACTTCGATTTTCAGAATCGCACCGTCTCCAGACCATTCATGAACTTGAACTAGAGAATATATGGAATACGAGCAGGGATAAGCAGTAACCAGTTACATGTATCAAACTTACGTAACTCGGTTACTTTTGTAACTTGTAGTTTGTAATCAGTTACACAATATTCAAGTAACTTTTAAATGTAAAAAATTACAATTTTTTTGTAACTTGTAAGAATAGATACATGTAACTTAAGTTACGCAACTTCATATAACGCTCACACCGGAAAAAATTATAAAAATAAAAATAAAGGCCACTCAGCTGAAACGTTACAGATGGCAAACCTCTTACAAACTTATTTTAACTCTTATAAAAAAAATACTATTAAACAATTTTTGTTTATCACTAAATGCGACTTATAGTGGATCGGCACATCCTTGAGGGGGGGCAAGGGGAGCAATTACTCCCCATAAGTCGAGTGATGTACTTTTTGTTAGATAAAATATCAAAAATTCTTATGTACAAATAAGTACAAATGTAATTGGTTCCAAATGCCATAAAAATGATTCCGGATATTATAAATTTTAATAAATATTCTTTCAAGGGTGGGACAGAATTATGTGGAAAACTAAGTGAGAACAATAGTGTAGCGAAAATTGTATCTATTGGAATTACAATGATGTTTTTTTATTATTTTTTTTATTTTTTATACTGTGACAAAAATTTCTTCCAGAAATCTCACTTCAATATAGAAGTGTAGCACATTTTTTGAAAGAAAATAATATCATATTGAATTGATGGTACTTTAAGAATGTCATTTTTTGATTTGATTTTGAGGAAAAAGTAAAATTTAACTTTTAAATTGCACTGTTTTACTGCATTGTGTGTTGTTAACTATGTTGTAATGCATTTTTATAATATATATGTAGTCTTCTAAGCACTGGCGGTTTTAGGAATTTTTTTGGGGGGGATTTATTGATATTACCTATATATTTAACATAAACAAATATCTTCCCATTGATCATACATTAATTTAATTTAAATTGACCAACTTTCACTGTCAGAAAAAATAATTTTTTTTTTTTACTTACATAATCGAATCTAACTTATGTTTTACAAAATTCAAAATCTGTCCTAGAATAATGGGGACGGATGCAGTCACAACTATAAGTAATTTAATGTATACTGGTAAACAAGGATTAACCATTTCTAACGAAAAAACGACGGACGGAATTTGGTTGATAGTGTTGCTTTGTATATATGTCATATTGTGGTAAAATAATTACATATGTATTATATAGTTTCTTTAATATTGTACCTATTTTTTGACCAAAACGGTGGTATTCAAGAGTAAAAATTGTTCACCCCCCTCCCCATGAATATGACGCGAAGTTCAGGTACAGATATACATTCAATTTCCCTCAATATCCTACCTTCCCAACTTCTCATCTACAACAGTGTTCCACCCATCATGCAAAGTATGTCTGTATTTTCTTACCAATCATTAATAATAAATTTAATTATTTTGCCCCCTTTCCCCCCCATAGTCAAAGTTTGGAGGCGCCCCTGCTAGTAAAATGTATTTTAACTAATTCTCCTCTGTGTATGGAATTTTTAATTAAATTTCTTGGAATAAAATAAAATATTTATCTTGCAACGTCCGGTGTTCCTCAAGGAAGACTTCTTTTTCCGCTCCTGTTCTCTTTATTTATTAGATTAGGTTAGTGACTCAAGTATTCTATCACGCAGCCGTATTTTATGTTTTTTAAAAACAAATTCCGAAAAAATTAAATAATTTCCGAGATAACAAGTGTCTTATAATATATTGATCAGCCTGTATTATAAACATTTTCAATAACTTTCCGGATTTAAATTATACTTAAAACATTGATTGTACAAACTAAGATTCCTTTTATTTTTCTCTAATTTCCATACTCTTTCTTACTCTGTACCTCTCTCTCTTTCTTTCTCTCCCTTGTTTTCCTCTGGAATGTACACAATTTAATTTTAATATTATTAACATGACAACTTTGTTATGATCTACTATTTTCTTCACTAATGCACTTATATTTTTAAAGCTTTATTTTTGATTTGGATAGTATCTAAGAAATTTTTCTTTAATGAAATGATGACACATTAAAAAACAAATATAATGGTTTTTGTCTACTAGAAAGTAAAAATAAAAACATTTGTGAAAAATAAAAATGTTTAAATTGAAATGAAAATGACAAAATGTGGAAAATGCTCGTTGAACTACTGTCACACTATACTCGCGTATAGTGGTATCGTATAAATTTAAATATATAAATATTATTTGATCACAATAAAGGAAACGATTACAAATTAAGAAATTATGCTAAACTTTTGCATAAATATTAAATCACTACTTATACAGTTTAAAATACGGGAATCATTTTAAGTTTTTATTTTTAAAAATTTTAAAATAAATAAATTGATTAAATTTCTTAGGTTTTAAATAAATATTCTGATTTTAAGTTGGCTATTTTAAAATGAACATAAAAAAAAGTTAAATTTAAATTTAACTATTTTGTTTTTGCATTATATATAATCATAATCAAAAAAGTTAATAACGCTATAAGATCGTGTAACAGTAATCAAACTTGCAATATGATAAATATACAAAACAAAAGTTAATTTCGATTTGAAATCAACACGAATATTTTGTAAAATATTGAAAAATATTGTTTTGGGGATTTATTTCCAGGGATTTTTTATCGGATTACCACATTCACTTGTTTGCTACAACGACATAACACATAAAACATGTTTTTTGCAGAAAGAATTTGAAGACAGTAGTAAAACAAAATATATGGATAACAAATGATAACGTAATAACGTCACAACTGCCATCTAGTTGTTAATTTTACATGCTCACTTATGTCGTTCTATTATTTTTTTATAGTGTTATGTCTTATGAACGGGAGCACAAATAAATAAGATGTATGTGTGTGTATGTAATGACGGTAGTCAGCATACTGACTGACGACTGTCGTGTTTATTATAAACACATCACAGCAGTAAAGCCCGCAGGAACTGATAAGCTGATAAGTAATATAATAATTGGAAACTGCGAAATGTAACACCTTCCTTTAGGTAATTAGAATAAATATTTTTAAGTATTTATTTAAAATAGGTATTTTAGATTTTAAAGTAAGACTCATCAATAATTGCACTGGAGAATATTTAAGCCCAATAATAACACTATTTCTGTTCTCCAATAACATTAACTGTTATTAACATTGGCCTTACTCTCTTCTGCCTTTTTTAAAATTAATTTTACAATACTTACTCCTTTTCCACAAGACCATTTGATCTTGGATATCTAGGGCTTGTTGTAATTACCTTAATACCCCACTCATCAGTAAGTTGAGAAAACTCTCTAGAACTAAAAGGCATATTATCAGTGATAAACTGTTCAAGAACACCATGAGTAGGAAAAATAACTTTTAAAACTTGTATTATCCAAGTTACTGTTTTGGAGGATACAAATTTTAACTCCAACCAACCTGAAAAATAATCCATCAAAACTAAATAAGCTTGCTTACCAAAATCCAAAATACCACACGCCACTTCCATAAAAAGAAATTATGGTACCTTATAAGATAACATTGGATCTCTTATATTTTTTGTTCTAAACTTCTGACACACTGCACAATTATCAATACATTCTTCAATGTCTCTATCAATACCTTTCCAGTAAAATGTTCATGCTCTCACTTTGGTCTTACAAATACCTAAATGAGCTTCGTAAAGTATACATAAAATACAATTTTTAAGCACTTCCAGGACAAAAACTCGTTCATTAAGGAAAAGTAAATTATTTTCGTAAGAAATTTGCAATCGCGTATCAAAATACGGCTTTACATCATCCAATACTTTATTTTTAAGTTTAGGCCATACTTCTAAACACATTTTAATTAGTTGTTTTAATAAAATATCACTTTGTGTTTCTCGTTCAAAATTATCATGAATATTATTTGTCATATTAATAGTATGAACTACACTAAAAACATATAAACAATATCTACTTCTTTATCTGCGAACAAAGTGCACGCACGACTTAATGCGTCCGCAATAAACATTTTCTTGTCCAATTTATGTATTAAATTAATATCATAACCAACCAATTTAATACGAAGGCATTGTAATCGTCTCGAAGAAATATCTGATATATTTTTATTCATTAATGAGATAAGAGGTAAGTGATCAGTTTGCATTATGACCTGCTTACCATAAATTTAATGATGAAAAACTTTACACGAAAATAATGCTGCCAGAAATTCCTTGTCAATCTGATCATAATTAATCGCATTAACAGTTAAACTCTTAGATTTAAAACAAAATGATCTACCTTCTTACAAAAGCACACAAACAATTGCTAACTTACTAATCCATCTATATTATTACTTCTTACGAATTATCATAATTTCTTAGTACTAACGGACTAAATATAATATATTTAATTTCACCATGTACCGAAATCCAAATAAACTTATTATTTTTTTTTATTAAAATCTCTCAGCGGTTTCGTTAACACAGCTAAGTTTGGAATAAGTTACTTTCATAATTCACTATGCCTAAAAAACGTTGCAAATCTTTAACACTTTTAGGGATTTCATAATCAAAAATAGATCAAACTTGTTCCTACATCTCCATACCCTCACTAGAAAAATTATGACCTAAATACTTGACTTTATCAACTTTAAATTGTAATTTCGCTTTATTAAAAGTTATGTTACTCTTCATTGCAACATCTAATACTTGCCATAAAGCAATATCACGTTGAATCTTTATTTCACCAAAAATTAATATATCGTCAAGATATACAAATATATTTTCAATACTACCAAAACAATTCATATTCACCTTTTGACATATCTCAGCTGCAATATTAACACCAAAAGGAAGTCTTTTAAAACTAGAGGTGGGTAATTCGTTGGTGAGTTGACTCTTTCAGATGAACTAAATTAATTTATTCAGTCTGATATAGTTCAGTAACTCGATGATTCAGTGCTACTGCTGGTTCAATACAATTCACAAATCACAGATGTGTGTTATCACTTATCAATTCCTGAATTACTGGTGATTTACAGATTTAGTTAACTAGTTTTACCTATTGACTAACTTACTCATAAGTACGGCAATTTGTTTAAACTGAAATATATATATTAATAAACAAATTATTCTTCGACGAATAAATATGATTGAAAAACCTCGCTTTAATGAACTAGAAACTTGGGAGTTGATTCACTGAGTTGATGATTCGTGATAACGAGAGTTAAATTTAATGAACTGGGAACTATTGGGACTTGATTCACTAAGTTGAACATCAGAAGTTAATGATATCACAACTAAAATTAATTCTATAATTTTCCACCAATAAATGTTCAACTCATGAAACCGAAATATTATTAACGTTATTAACAATAGAACAAAAATAATCAGTAAAATCATCTAATTGCTCAATAGATCTAACTTGAGATTTACAAACTATTTTAATATAATCTATTACATTTAGAACATTTTTTACCAAACGCTGGATGGATCATAAAATTGGATACGTTTTTACTACAAAACGTAATAAATGATGCATTTCGATTGAAAATCGAAAATGTTTAATCATACGTGGGGAAATTTTTCAAACAGTCCCAGGTCTGTCAAAATAAGAGAACAAATTGATTGTTATAAGTCACCCAAACACATTACAATATTTTAAAATCACTCACCCAAACGCATTGTGGAAAATTACCAAAACACAATGCAATTTTTAGAAACTCATCAAAACGCATCAAAACGTATCATTTCTCATCACCGATCAATACATTTGACCAATAAACAATGAAATAATGAATTCATGGTTCAGGGTTTTTTACTCTGTGAACTACGGCCATAACCTTTCAACGCCCATCATAGTAATTTTTCAATAAGTACTACCTGTTCCTCACTGGTTCATCCGTTTTCTAATGCTCATCATCTCAGTTAACTAGATGAACTAATGAACTGATTTCAGTTCGTATATACCGTATCATCATTATTACTTTATTTTTTAGTTTTTATAAATTTGTTTTTCTAGTGTTTTTTTATTATTAATAGGTTCCGATTGATAGAAAATCGTGTGGATACCAACGCCCGGTTTACACATAATGTCTTTGACACACATTTTTAGTAAGTGCCTGCTGTTACATAAATAATTAGGCGGTAAAATGAGTATAGGTACTACGACTATATATAAGTATTACATAATACAGGTATAGTATAGGTACCTACTGTATTTTAATGCTATATAGGTAGTTTCATTTGTTATAGTATCATAATTCTAATCGTCTCAAGGTTAACACCAGTCGCTGTAATTTTAAATAAAATCGTCAAAATAAGACGTTTTCCAAACAAAAGGGTTGTTAACGGTCGGATTCAATAAGGGTCAAACTAGCACTCATTGAAGCAATGCACAACTTTGTCAGCTGGATGATCGACGTCGGGACTATGAAGTATACAAAATGTGCGCACTGGCAATAATGGATAACAACTGAAACGGAAACATTTGCAGTCAATGCAATAAATAGATTATAGACTATAAGTACATTATCAGCTTATACAGTAATATAACGGGAATATAACTGACGTGACAGTAAAACTATAAGTAAATAGCACAAAATAATTTAAATCAATATTTATTTTTTCCGAACACATAATATTATATAGAATATGCAAGTTAAGTTTACGTTATGCAAAAAGAAAAATATTGATTTGATGGTACCAGCTACTCTAAGTTTATAAATTAAACAAAGATAGGTACGTAGATAGTTTACAGTGTTACAGATATTAGTTTTATATTACCTATAATAGGTACCTATCTCATAGTATACAATTATTTAAAATAAAATAAATATTTTGTACGTTAATATTGTAGAATATTGAGCATCAAAAATTGTAGACTAACAGTCAAATTATGATGCATCAACATTAAACATACTGTTTTTGTTTAATAATTTGAGATATACACAATTAAAATGAAATGTTGCAGATTGAACAAATTGGCATACAATTGGCCTTTTAAATAATTTCTGTAACCTTTATAATAATAATTTAAAAAAATAATAGGTGATTGAAAACTTTATTTTTAAACTGTAGTACAAACAAACTATACTTCGATTTGAATCCAAAAAGGTATTTATAACATTTTTGACTTAACCTATAATACATAATGTAATGGCATAGGTACTGATATTAGGTTTCTAAACATAAAAATATAAAACACTGTCCTTTTTCCCCGTTTTCTATGTCTGTCTATAAAGTTACTAGTAACGGTTATTTGGTTGACAAGGAAATATACAGAGTGTACACGAAGATATACGAAGATCTGACACGTGAAATAGCTTTTATTATGTTCAAATTTTTAAGTTTTAATATATATCATATAATAATTTTTAGAACCTTGGGCTATGATTACTCTATTTTAATATTATTAGCATATTTATTTAAATATAAAAATGATGATAATGCTGATAAGTGTGCCACTGTTTTAGAAGATAAAATTGAAAGGAAGGATATATTATAAAAAATTTAATTTATGTCTGTACACAACGATAAATAACTACTAACAAAAACGATTTTCAGCAGAGTATATAAATCGTATATTTCCCCTTGTAACCAAGAAACTCGTAAATCAATTTTAGTATCAAATTTTGACAAAAATCGTTTGTGTAAAATTTATGTGGAACAAATCTAGTTTTAGGTCCATGTGCATTTTTCAACTTTTTTTATTTTGAACATATTATGTAGATTGTCAATATTGTCAATTGTATAGTATGTATGTCGTGTGATCTAGTGGTGGTATGTACCTGTTGTCATTCTAGAGATCACAAGTTCAAACCTGAGATCCGAAAAAATTGCTTTGCAAAACCACATCGGGTAGGTAACAGGAAAAAGCAAATGCAACACAATTATGTGTTTACTGTGTGATTCATTATATTAAATATATATTTTATAAATATTTTACTACAATATATTGTAGAAAAAGCAATACTATTAGTTTTTTGTTAGTAATAATTAATCTTTGCTTAAAGATATACATTAAATTCCCCTCTATATCCTACCTTTTCAACTTCTCAACTTCTCATCTATACAGTGGCCAACCCATTATGTGAAGTATGTTTGTGTTTTTTTATTCATTTATTTCAACAAAAAAAACCAATCCAATAAAACCATTCTAATCTTATTGAAGCTTTATCTAAAAATTATCTAAAAGTAAATTAATAACTTTTTTAAATTAAAATGTATTATCACTGCAAAATAATAAAACCTGGAATGTAATATAATATTTATCATAAGCAAAGAATTTAATATTCCACCTATAATAGCCTTGTTTATGCAAAAACGAACAAAAATGTATGTGTAATAATAGGTGATTTGAATAATAAAACCTAATGAAATATTATTTCATTTGCCTAGTATTTTTTTTATAATTTTAATTAATTAATTATAGGTAGATGGGAGCAGTTAATGAATACGTATGTAACATAACCTCAGTAATTATAAGTTAATGATGACGAGCTATACAAAAAATGAAAAGACGGACATACTTCACATATGGGTAGGCCACAATTGAAGGTGAGAAGTTGAGAAGGTAAAGGAGAAATTTAATGTATAATTATACGTAAAGATTAATCATTGCTAACTCTACATAAGTCTAACATACTACAAAAGAAGCTCAATGAAAATCTATTGGTGACATAGTGCTTGAGAATTTGGGTGGTTGCAAATTCGCCCCTTTTTCCTTATTACTTAAATGTATTATACAACACATTTAAAGCCATAATTTTATCAAAATATTTGTATACATTATTGTTTTATGCAAAAGAGCGAAACAATTAAGGGCATAATTCTAATTTACTACCTGATTTTTTTGTTTTTTTTTTTTTTTCAATATGTGTTTTAGTGTGTACATTAAGAATGTAAAAAAAAGTCGGACGAACTTCGTTTGGAAGTTATGTGGGGAAACTTTATAAAGTATGTTTTTTTCTTTTCGCGTATTTCTTAGTTATAATTTAACATTTTTAATTTATTTTTTTCAAAATTTCTGTTTTTAGACGCTTAATCTATTGGTGTAATCAAAATGTACCTATCATACTTACTTTCAAAGTTATTATATATATATATATATATACCTTAAAAAATATCATTTTTGGAATTAATCTAAAATGTGGTAAAAAATAGAAACTTTATTATTATCATTATTATTTGTAGTTATTGATACTTGGATAACAAAGTTTTTTTTATAGAATAAGTCTATCAAGCTTAGTTTTAGAGTTATTCGTGTTCAAACGTGACGTACCATAAGCTTTCTATAATAAAATATAATGCTATATAATTTCACTTAAAAACATATTTTATTTAAAAAAATTCATCCTCAATCTCGGATGAACTACTGTCATTTGTCAACTCTTCCAAAATTTGCCTTGTTGAATTATAAAATAATTTCACCTTTATTCTTTTTACTTTTCTTTGTTACTTACCCGACGTGGTTTTGCACGACAAATTGAGGGTTATTTGCAATTAAAATTGTCCGAGTGAGCGTAATGAGCGAGTGACCACCTTTGGTTTCTAATTTCACCTATATGCTTTTCACTTTTCCTTGTCACCTACCCAACGTGGTTTTGCACAGCAAATTAAGGGTTATTTTCGATTAAAATTGTCCGAGTGAGCGCAGCAAAATATGGCGCGTTTAAACGTTTGTAACTATAAAGCTAAGCCACATAGACTAATTCTGATTTCAACAAAAAAATTTAATCTAAATATCAATAACTATAAATAATAATAATAAAAAAAAATCTATTTAGTCACATTTTGAATTAATTCCG